ACTTATCTAAACTAACTAAGAGAGCAAAGTTTTGGTTTATTCGGAACATGGTCACATGACACTACTATTTCACTCAAATTGTAACATTACTTGGATTTTTTTTATTAGTATACAACAAAAGTGGAACATATCAACCGTGTCGTCTACCATTGTTATAACACGTAGAATGAGACACAGCACGACTTGTGTTTCTGGTACCCACATAAATTTCTCATAAGACAAGAATTTAAACTTGAATGCAAAACAAAAAAAAAAAAAAAAAAAAAACACACATACACTGCTCTAAATAATTTGACTAAGTAAGCTCAAGTCTGCATTACAAGTATTTAAAAAGGGGGGGCTAGCTTTAGTTGTTTGCCATCGCATTTAAGGCACAGAATATCAAGTGCTCATGCACTTTTGACCTAAGCATATGTAGATGTTAACAAATCAGGGTGAAACTTAACATCACGAGGTGACTTCGATTCTTTTATGCTCACTCCTCGGTGAAAAAAATATTATTCATATACATAACCCTAACGTGATATAAGATATGAACAATCGATCACCACACGTTTAAGGAGCTTCATGTTTTTGTTCAAGCAGTAGTTGCATGAAATATCTTTATATATAAGGACTGGTGGGTGGACCATGGGTGACATTTATATATTCTCAAGTTCAAATCAACCAAAAAACAAATACAGCAAAAAAATAAAAATGAAAAAGTTATAACTTCACCATAAACTAATTGATTATATGAGAATTAGCTCAATCTTTTATAAGATTTTGCATAATTTGATCCCTCGCCAAAATGGGACTTTGTCCTCAATTCTTATACGGCCCCTCGTGTATTTTAAAGATTAACACATGAACAATACAAATTGTTTAGCAAAACCCAGTCCACTCAAGAAGGATAATAATTAAACCAAACCATCTATTACATGGAGCTACATATGCACCCATTGCTTCAATTTTTTTATTTATTTGATATACATGCATGCATTGCTTGCCACTTCAGCAACTTGTGGACTAAAATTGATTCTTTTGTAAATTATAAAAGTGATCAAATGATGATAAAGTTGATAATTTAACACTGCGCTAATTAACTATTTATATAGATTCATTCCATAACATTTCTTATAATATGAATCAATCATTTTTTCAAATTATCATTGAAAGGTCGTTTTTGTTAAAGTTTGAATCAAATCAGATGGTTATTTAACCGTGAAATGATAAACAGATGAACACACTCTTGTCCATAAATAATACAATAATAACAATAATAAATAAAAGTTAAAAGACTTTAGATTTAAATGAATTTTATAAGAATAATTTTTGAACGATGGCTAAAACTTTAAAATAAACAATTTGAATCATGAAACTACATTATTAAATAGAAATATAGACGAATAATTAATGATGTATTTAGTTATTAACTAATTATCGCTTGAGCATTATAAATGCATATTGTTCTCATTCCCCTTTGTCTGCGCATGCTTATTTCTCTAGTCTTCTTCTATCTCTTTTTTTGTCTGTTCTCTCTAAAATTTTCTTTTGAATTAAATATCAAGGACAAAATGAAGTGCATGCAGTGCAAGAATGGAACACTAGTGACTAGTCCAAGGAACAAATTAATGCCAAAAACATCTGTGTGGTTTTTAATACGACAAGTGGCAGCCTCTGTGACATGAGATATGAAATGTAGCAGAATATAATCTATAATATTTATATTTACAACCATGCATTGAGAATTTTTGGACATTTTTATATATTTAGTAACATGTTTGTTTTTTTTTTTTGAATTTTAATATTGATGTTCTACGACTGGCTAGTGTTTGGTTGATTGGAAAAAGAACGGGAGTGGTGGGTGCTACAGTTGTAGACATCAGAACAAACACCTGAGGCAGTCTTGATGAAGATGGCATGGAACTTGGCATATTATTACAACTTCTTTTTCTTAAGTGAATTAGGCATCTAATCTCTTCACCTAGCTATTATTATAGCTGAATAGCATATCTGAATCTTGCTACGTTGCTCTGTTATATGCCCCAAGAATAAATCTCAATAAACTCTCATTTTATCACGTGATCTACACTTTGTATACTGTGAACTATTTCTCTAATCTATAGATCAGACGTATAAATACAAGTAGGTTTTTCGCTTTTATTTAAAGAAATCTACTACACAAAATGATGTAAAAATGTAATCTTCCTAGATAGGTCGTGATAAAATGGGAGCTTCGAATTGTGAGATCGGTCAGGTTCATCCTTCTTGGTAGTTAAGTTTGGTGATTGTATGCCTAATAATTTTGGGTTAATCTGGGTTGGTTTTTCAAGCTTAAAACATGAACATGGACGTTTTTGACCCCACATCAACAGATTTTGGGGTACGCAAGGATCTAACTGCGAGTGGTTTTAACCATGAAATACATATTAAACATGCCCATTTAAATTACATATCATAATAAGAGTCATTAAATTGTTTTGATCCAATGAGATCTAACAACTCTTTTCGTATTTGAAGTGCATTAGAAAAAGAGAAATGCTGAAGATATTGTCTTAAAAGTGAGATTCTCTATAGACTCTATATCACCTTATGTTTTTGGCATAATATTTATAATGTTGGCATGAACATTGTTTTAAAGTGTGAAGTAACTATGAGTCCACAGTAGGGATGTCAACGAGGCAGATTGGGTTCGGATGTGCCATCCCCATACCCGAACCTGTTTATTTTCTCCGAACCCGAATCCGTAAAATCCCCGAACGGTTTTCCCAATAACCGAACCCGTCGGGTGATGGATTTTTGATCGGGGAATGGTTTTCCCCATTATGATATTTATATATTTATTTATATTATTAACTAAATGAAGAATATTAAAAAAAAGGATATTAAATAAATTGCTATTATTAATACAATTAATACAATGCATCTAATAAGTAATTAAACATTTATATTACTAAAAAAACATTTACATTCTTAAAAATTATAAGCATATAATTCCTATTATTAATGATATAAAAGTAAATAATTAATTTCATATTTAATAATGCATGATTATTAATAACCCCTTTCCATATAATAAATATTTAGATATTTTTATTCATAGATGAAATGCTTAGGTTTTGGGTATGGGTTTGGGGCAGATACGCCAATAACCATAATCAAACTCAAAACTGAAAAATTTATCAAACGGTTATCCATAATTATAAAATACCTGAAATTTTATGCCTGAAATCGAACTATTCGAAAACGGGTTAAATTGCCATCCCTAGTCCACATAAAATCTCCTCATCATTGATCCTAAAAAAAACTCAGTGGTTTGACTTTCTCTTGCTTTTTATGGGCTCATTCCTCAAACTGAAACATACAAATTGGGCTAATGATTATATATATAAAGTAGAAGTTTACATTTTGGGTTTGGTCTCATGGCCCAATAAAATTTCATTTATATTGTCATAAATTTAAAAAGGTATCTATTTATATAAACTGAAATGAATATGTTTATTAAGTAATAAACATTTGTTTTATTTTGTCAAACATTTGTTTATTGAAACTACTCATTTATATTGAGAAAAAATTCCTAGCTCACGTCTGTCAATGTAATGTGATTTGTCAACTTTTGAAGTGGCTTAGTGGTTGGTTGGGGGAATTTCAGGCTCATTTTCTACATGTACGCCTTGAGTTTGACTATTAGTGTTGTCTGAATCTCATGATGATAGTAAAAAAAACTGAAATGTCCTTGTGAATTTTTCCGACCCTAGTGCCGAAACCACAAACTAATCCCTTTTTATTTTAAAAGAATAAATATAATCTACTTGAGCACCACACACCTTTAATCTCAAATTATGATACAAGATAACACTTATTTGCATTCAAGAAACATAGACTATTTTCATGGAACATGAAAGAAAAATGTTTTTTTTTTGGTCAAATCTGAAAACAATGTAAAATTTAATGATAAAGTCAATTGTTGACAGCTTTTGGTGACTGGTGCTATGTCACTATGACTGAATCGAAAGGAAATGAATTCTCTTCAAATCCTTTTTTTAGGAATTCAGGAATTTCGTGATTGTGATCGTTCATCGTACATCGTGCAGTTAGAAATAATTTCAAAATTTAAATTTTAAAATTAAATATAAATAGTACCTAACAAAAACTGACAGCATGATATACAATGAACGATCATGATCATAAAATCCCTAAGATTCTCATAAAAAGGATTATGCGATGATTCTTTTCCGAATCGAAATTCCGAAAAAAACTTGAGTGATTATGTCATGTTATTATGTCCCAACCCCTTACCCCAAAACTAGACTTTTAATTAGATGCTGATACTACGGTCCCATTCCTAGTAACAAATCGGCCACAATATAATCTACCTACATCATTTCACAAAATCGAATAATAATTAATTAAAAAAATTAGTTTATATAAAACGATTTTACCATCATCTAAAACATTATTTTACTAAAACAATGATATATATTTTTTTTAATTTAAACAGAAAGTCACCATCACATAGAATAATAATATGAATTATGAGTAAATTGTAGTTATGGTCCCTTAACGTTAACTTAATTGTAGCAATGGTCCATCAACTAAAAATCCATTATTATTAGTCCCTCAACTCATTAAAACGTGCAGTTATGATCCCTCAACTTTAATTCAACTTGACAAATGGTTCCTTAACTTTAACCCAATTGTAGCAATGGTCATTTCAACATAATTTGTTTTGACAAAATTTTTGATGTAGTTGGCGAAAAAGATCATAATTACACACTTTGATGAGTTGATGGATCCTAATTATATAAATGGTTATTCTAACATAACTTATTTTGATGAAATTGATGAAAATGACTATAGGTACACATTTTGATAAGTTGAGGTACCAATGGTAATAGATTTTTAATTGAAAAACTATTACTCTAATTTAATTAAAATTAAGAAACCATTTCTACAATTTACTCTGTGAACTAATCTATACCTTGCTCTCTATGAAAACCCAAGCAAGGCATGAGGAAATCCCCAACAAAAAGTCACGTGCTTTCAGAAAAAGCCGACCTCTTTCCCCCCACCCGCACATCCGCCACAACAGCTATTCCACAATCGCGGCAATTCCTCCCGGCAAATTGCATTCAATTGGTTTCTCTTCTGGGCGTTTTGACCCAAAAACTGATCTGGGTCGCCTTCAAATTCATCAAATTTCCACTATTTACAACCCGATTTGCTTCCAGAACCGGTCTTCGTCCTATAATCTGATCTGGGTCGTCTTCAAAATCACAAATTTCCAACACCAACGGCCTCAATTGCTTTAAAAAATTGATTATTTGGCCGATAATTGAATATCGTTCTGCGACCCAGAACCATGGTTTCTGTGTCGAATTCAGTGTTGTTTCCTCTGGCGACATCTAGCGGCTTCACATCCGATGGTTTTTCTCGGTCCGTTAGATTTGCAAGGACGATCAATTGTAGTAGTGACAAGCAAAAGGGAGAGCAAAGAAACGTTTTGTGTGCTTGTATGGAGCCTCCCCCCAAACTGCGGAGCGATGAATCCTTTGCAGCTAAATTCGAGGTAAGTCTCAGACAACCTTTGAAGAAGTCATGTTTTTGTAATTGAACAACTCATGTTTTTTCTTAATCCATTTACTAAAGCAACCATTTTGTATGCTTACTTGGCTTCTATTGACACCTACATTGTATTGTTATTTGACAAATCTTTGTGTTGTGGTTTTGTCTACCGATTTGATATTTCTGATCGTTTTTCGTAGTTTTCATTTATCTTATGTAATGTGCTACTTTACTATTGAGATATGGTATTAGCTTTATTGCTTACTGTTAGGAAAAATGCCGGTCGTTTCTGACCTGCTGGCTTTGTAAACCCCGCATTTCCACTTGGTCCTGGATTCCACAGGCATTGACAAGTTGCAATTCGGAAAACTTGCATTGTGTTTTTATCACTGTGTTGGATTCCATTGGACACATGAAATGCGTAATTTGATGTTTGTAGTAGCGGAAATTAATTCAGATCAATAAATGGTAGCTGTGGCTGACAGGGTTTTTCTGATCAGGATCCATTTAAATCAGAGGATTTAAGTACAGTTTGGGAACCCGAGGATGACTCTGATGTTCTAATCGAGTGTAGAGACGTCTACAAATCGTTTGGCGAGAAGCATATATTGAGAGGTGTGAGCTTCAAGGTGAATCTAATTCATATTATATAAGTCTTTTCAGTTGTTTTAAGAATTTATATGCATTGGTCCTATGTGGAGGTAGCATACATTTGAACTTTGCTATTGTCCTGTGACTGATAGTTCCTGATCAAGCGTTTCAAAAGTTAACTTCTTTAGCTTGAACCTTTGTCTTTTGAAGACTAGTGATTTACTTTAGAAGAGGAATTCACTGCTTTCTTTACCCCGGGAACTAAATATGTTCCAAAAAGAAGAGGAGTCAAGTCTCTATTTGGCTTATGAGTTACACAGTAGATTGTTATCCTTACAAAAGGCAGTTTGGGTTTTTATTCAATTCCATAGTCTGGGAAAGCGTTGCGATGGGATTTCCAGAATGAAAGAAACAAGAATGCTACTCTTTTTTAAGGATAGGAATGGTGTTGTTTAGGACTGTTTTCTTCTTTCTTAACCCGTATTGTTTTCTATAATATTGTTCTTTAACATAGAATGTGCTACTGGTCTTCCTTTCACTACTTTGTACTTTCCTATATTTTCAATATAATTTCTGTATCTAATAAAAGAAATTATTGGTCATTCGTGGATTCATTTATAGATTAGGCATGGCGAAGCTGTTGGAATAATTGGGCCTTCTGGCACGGGAAAATCTACAGTTCTGAAGATTATGGCAGGGCTTCTTGCTCCTGACAAGGTTGATAGTTAAGCTGGTTTTCATATTATGCTAACCCTTGTTGCATTAACTTGTGTTTAGATTTTAATGAGCTTCCATGAGTTAGTTATTGTTCTCTTATGTAGATTTGTCCTTTGTGTAACGAGCAGGGAGAGGTGTACATTCGAGGTCGAAAGAGAATTGGTTTGATCAGCGATGATGAGATATCTGGTCTTCGGATTGGATTGGTAAACTTCACTGTTATGCTAGGGTTATCTATTTTTTTTTCTGGTTCACTTATATCCAAACAAAAAAAATATATCTTTTAATGCATTTATCTACTATGTAACAGGTGTTTCAGAGCGCTGCACTATTTGATTCTTTGACTGTTCGTGATAATGTTGGTTTCCTTCTGTAAGTCAGCTTTAAATTCTTTGTGCATTCTTTTGCACTGTTAGGAGTGATAGTGTAGGTTTCAATAGAAAATGCCAAAGTATAATTCATGTTGTTAATTGATTAGGTATGAAAATTCGAGCATGCCCGAGGATCAAATTTCAAAGCTTGTGACTGAGAGCTTGGCCGCAGTCGGGTTAAAGGTATATGCTTAAAATGTCAATTTATTAGTCTGCAAAACCTTCCTCAACTTAACCCCCCACCCTCGGCAAAACCACATGTAATTTTTTTTCACTAAGATAATTTCTGAGCATCTTCTCACCCTCGCCATCAACCGTCTTCTAATGATCGTGTTTGTATGGGATGTAATGTTTTGATATCACTGCTTGGCGTGCTCGCCAACTAACCCCACCACCACTACCAAGAAAAAAATAGAAAAGAGTCAACTCTGACTCGCCATCAACTGTCTTCTAATCAATCTTGGTTGTTTGTTTAGGGAGTTGAGGATCGATTACCTTCGGAGCTATCTGGTGGAATGAAGAAACGAGTTGCTCTGGCTCGATCCATAATTTATGATACCACAAAGGAGGCGATAGAGCCAGAGGTATTTTGAGAAGATGATAGTTTTGTTGTGTTCTTTATTTAATTTGTTTCCTTAGATAATGTTTGCATAACTGTAGAATGTTTTGCGAGTTGTGATTCCCATTGCTTTCCTTCATAGTCACACGTATCATTGGTATCATCCGAGTTTAGTATGTAATTGTGTACTGTGCTCTCACGAGTCCTGACAGTCTTCGACGCCCTTCAACAGGTGCTCTTATATGATGAGCCAACAGCTGGACTTGATCCTATTGCTTCTACTGTGGTAGAAGACCTCATCCGCTCTGTACATACAAAAGGTCGGGATGCAATCAAGAAACCTGGGCAGATCGCATCTTACGTTGTTGTTACTCACCAACATAGTACCATCAGACGAGCTGTTGACAGGTTACGTGCCTCATCCAAATTGTCATGTCATTATTGAACGGTTGCGTTGGTTGTTTAATACGTGTTTTAAACAAAGTATATACAAATTCAACATGTATAGGTTGTTGTTTCTCTACGAGGGCAAGATAGTATGGCAAGGAATGACTCATGAATTCACAACCTCAACAAATCCAATCGTTCAACAGGTAACGACCCTTTTGGTCTTGCAATGAATCATGATCCTGAGACCAAGTACTTACCCTTTTCTGTGGGTGTTGTTTTCAGTTTGCTTCCGGGAGCTTGGACGGCCCGATTAAATATTAGAACTGGTTCTTGGTGTGCATATTACACGAACAACTTCTTACTCTGTTAGTTTCGAATCTTTGAGTTCCGGTTCGGCGCCACTGTTGGAGAAAATGCATTCAAAACTGAAGAATATAGTTGATTTTATGGGCCATAACTTATGGCATATTATTATAACGGGTATCCATTGATTATGGGTATTATCTGCGATTATAACGAGTATCATTTTACCCATTTAATTTAATATATATATAATTAAAAAAAAAAAAAAAAAAAAAAACCTCAGAGAGCTCACAACTCAGTCAGTCACTCTCTCTCTCCGTCACAAACACATAAAAACAACAGCGGCTGCAATCCCAATCTCCTCCAAATTCCTCACCTTGCCCACCATTCTAACCCTCGGCCGCGTCGCCTCCGTGCCGGTTCTCATTAGCAGTATGATTTCGATTGAATTTTGTATTTCGTTGCAAATTGCATTGACTGCAATTGTGTATCCGGCTGATTTTTGAATTGCCGGTGTGGGTTTTGTTTGTTCTTTAACTTTTGTGTCTCTGTTGGGAGATCCAATGCAATCCGAGTACTCATATTTTGGCAATGATGTTGATATATTGGGAGCCAATGCAATCCGAGTACTCATATTTTGGCAATGATGTTGATATGTTGGGAGATCCAATGCAATCCGAAAAATATCGTTAGTAAATATTATTGGAATTGTACGAGGACTTAAAAAATAAGGAAATACATGCTAAAATGTACCTATAACGATGTTTAATTGTCAAAAAACGAAAATTATGACAAAATTTTCTTTTGTAATTTTCAAGTTGTTAAAAAAAACATATAAACGGATGAAAAATGGGTAAATAGGTAAAAAAAAAAAGATAAACGGGTTCAAAAACGGTTAAATGGGTAAATGGTTATGGTTAAATGGATACACGGTTATGGGTATGGATAATCGTTTATAAGCGGTTATGGTTATGAGTATAACCATTTATGCAATTACCCAATGGATAAATGGTTATGCGGGTATGAGCATAAACGGTTATAGGTAAATAACCGCGGTTACCCGCCCGCCATAACCGTTGCCGATCCCTAGTTATGGCATATTATTATGAGCATTCTGAGTGCCAACAGCTAAGTTCTATGTTAGCAAAACATGGAAGAACAAACTCATCCTTTAGAAAGGAGTAAATGAAATTTACAGCTTATTGTGGTCATCGACATCTACACGTAACATTACGCTAAGCTTTTGTCTGGAGAATGTAATTTCGTGCTCGAGGTGAGCAAAAGAGGGCTACTCCTGTAAAGTAGAAACTGAGGAAAGCACTTAGACAGAAAACCCAAACAGAAATCCGCCCCTCAACCTCTTCCCCTTCGAATGCCTTCCCAGGCACCACGGGGAGGCTTGCCGGGTCACACCCTCCATCAGAGGACTCCAAACACAAATCTGGATTTCCAGCAAATGCTCCTGGGAACCTCCAATATCCTTGCTGCCTCGTAACAAATCCAGAGAAGCAGTTGTATGACAAATCCAGACGAGTCAGGTCTTGAAGGCTGGAAATGTTTCCGGGAATCTGACCTGACAGCGAATTGTGCGATATATCTAAGGCCCTTAAACTCCACATCTTCTCTACATCTGGAACACGACCACGAAGAAAATTACGTGACAAGTTTAGGTATTGCAAACCACGTAATGCAAATAGCCCCCCTGGAATCTCCCCATCTAGCACATTATTAGAGAAATCGATTCCCACCATCGAAGATAGTACATAATTGAAGCTTAATTCAGTGCTAGCAGTGACAACAATCAAAACTTTTGTATCCGCACCGTGCGTTGTACCAAATGGCACTCTCTGCATTTTACCAAGCTCTCCATTGTTAAAATTTTTGCTCATGTTAAAGTTGGCATCCGGTATGAAGCCCGAAAATTTGTTTCCTGAGAAATCCATCATTCTGATAGCCAGAAAAGTAAAGAGCCAGCCGGGCAGATTTCCGTTAAATTCATTCTGAGCTAGGGACAGATACCTGAGGTTTGACCATTTGGTGATTGCATCACTCAAGGTTCCGGAGAGACTGTTGGAGCTGAAATCTACAATCTCCAGAGATTTACAGCCTGCTAAAGTAAGCGGGATCTCACCAGATATCTTGTTGTTGCTAATGTCCAGTATCTTCAAGCTGTCCAATGCATCAAGCTCCGGTTGAATTTCACCAGAAAGATTGTTGTTGTTGAGTATCAATGCAAGCAGCTGAAAACATCCGACGATGTTCAATGGAATTGAGCCTGATAGAGAGTTGTGCGAGAGATCAATCACTTGGAGGTAAGTCAGATTTCCAATCCTCGCCGGAATCTCCCCCACAAGAAGATTGTATGACAGAAACAGGGCCTGCAAGCTTTTCAGTTCGGTAATCTTCAATGGGATTTCACCAGAGAAACTGTTGTGAGACAGATCAAGAAGAACAAGCCCGGATTTATCTGTTGTCTCCGCAATCTTGCTCGGAAGAGGGCCAGACAACTCATTGTTACTCAAGTCCAAGACAAGAAGCTTCTCCGAAAACACAAGCCTCGGAGATATCTCATAAGTCAAGTGGTTGAATGAAAGGTTCAGATGATTCAAACCTTGAAGCGAAGCAATACATGTCGGCATTCCTCCCACAACAGAATTGTTAGCCAGATTCAAAACTCTAAGAGACTGAACACAAGCAGAGAAACAAGGCAAAGTACCAGAAAACTGATTCGATCCAAGATTAAGAAAGACCAAAGATTGGTGAAAGTCACTCAAAATACCAGATAAATTATTGTTCCCAAGATCTAAATACTTCAAAGATTTCGAGTATAACACGCTTTCAGGAATCTCCCCATGAAACGAATTAAACCCAATATCTAGTTTCTCCAACTGAGCCGAGAAGTTACCAACCCACCAAGGAATAAGCCCTCCCAAATCATTGTTACCATTCAAAACAAGTTCTTTCAGCTGCCTAAGCTTCATGAGTGTATCGGGCACAGTCCCCTGAAACCTATTGTGATCGAGATGCAGGGTTTTGAGACTGCGCAAAGAACCGAAACACAGGGGGATTGGGGAAGTAAAGTTGTTTTCAGACAAAACCAAATGTTCGAGAAATGGAAGTTTGCACAAACTGGGGTGAATTTGGCCAGACAAGTTCATGTTGGTCAAGTTAACCGAAACCACTCTGCCGGTCTGGTTTTCGCAGGTGATTCCGGTCCAGTTGGTACAATTAGAGCCAACCCAGCTGGACAAGCTCTGGCTAGGGTCTTGGACCAATGACCTAAACAGCAAGACTGAGTCTTTGTCTTGTGGGTAAATATCAAAACACTGAGAAAGGTTTGAGCATACAAGCACTACGAATATCAGTAGCAGTGCACGTAATTTAAGAGGGTTACAGGGGCAAAAACCTGAAACCCATTTGTGCTCCATGGCTTAAAAATAGAGGGCTTTCAGAGGGGTTGAAGAACAGCAGCAGCTGTAAATTAAGGCAATAACAAGGATGAAAAGCTACAGACCATCTTCCCCATTATGGATTGGAAGAAAAATATTGGACAAGCTGAAGAAAAAGCTCAGTGGCGGTAGCTAGACCTACCACGGGTAAAAGCAGAAAAACCCCATCTTGAAGAGATGGATGAGAAGCAAAATCTTTCGACAACTAGAAAAACAAGAATGCAAAGTGATAACTGATTAGTGCACAAAGAGAGAGAGAGAGAGAGAGAGAGAGAGAGAGAGAGAGAGAGAGAGAGAGAGAGAGAGAGAGAGGCTTACAGGTGAGGATGGAGCAAAATGCGGTGAGGAAGAAGCAAACAGGAATATGGAATGTGGAAAAAGGAGGCCATTAAAGCTTCTTTCCCTTTGCTTTTTGATTTAATTATTTATTTATTTTCTTTTTAAGTGAGAGTGTGAGCCCAGTTGTGCGGGCTGGTAATGGAATGATAAACCTGTAAATTGGATCCAATACTACTTTGGGCTGAGTTACCAATATCCTAGACAGAAAAAAATCAAATTCAATTTAACGGTAAATTCGAGTTAAGTCAGTTTCTGTGTATATCACTTAAATCACTTCTGTATTTTGAATGTTTTATAATAGAATACCATTTTGTTGAAAATGAAAATTTCAATTTGACAAACTTGAGCGTAACCACATTGTATCAAATGTGCTTTCTCAATCCACTCAAGTTCGAATGATCATTTCCACAATTTAGAGTAATTTGAAGTAGAACATTGTTGTCACTATAACTACAACCTGTTGGCAGCATGCCCACTACCTAAGTAAGAAATTTTAAACTCGACTCACATCAATATTAAATAGGAAGTATCAGGTTGGATTTACATATAAAACCATTCTAAACCTAACTTGTACGTTTGGCCAGTTATACTTGTGTGTACATTTCGATTTGCTGACAAACAGATGGGAAGAAAGAAGAAAGGCTGTTGAAGATTCTGAGTCAATTCCGACTTGGAGAAGATCAAAAGGCTGTTGAAGACCCTCTGACTCAACCCAACACTTCAATTTCAAAGAAGAAGAAGAACGAGAAGAAAGAAGAAAAGGATGTTGAAGACTGTCTTAGTCGATGCCGACTTGAAGAAGAAGAAGAAGAAGAAGAAAAGGATGTCGAATGTCATCCGACTCAACTCAATAAGTATAATTGCATATTTTTGTCGGACTTAGAAATGCCACCATGCCGCCATGATTATAAAACCATTCTAAACCTAATTTGTACGTTTGGCCAGTTATACTTGTGTGTACATTTCGATTTGCTGACAAACAAATGGGAAGAAAGAAGAAAGGCTGTTGAAGATTCTGAGTCAATTCCGACTTGGAGAAGATCAAAAGGCTGTTGAAGACCCTCTGACTCAACCCAACACTTCAATTTCAAAGAAGAAGAAGAACGAGAAGAAAGAAGAAAAGGATGTTGAAGACTGTCTTAGTTGATGCCGACTTGAAGAAGAAGAAGAAGAAGAAGAAGAAAAGAATGTCGAAGGTCATCCGACTCAACTCAATAAGTATAATTGCATATTTTTGTCGAACTTAGAAATGCCACCATGCCGCCATGATTATAAGCTTTGTCCAGAAGAAGAAGAAGAAGAAGAAGAAAAGAAAAGGATGTCGAAGGTCATCTGACTCAACTTAATAAGTATAATTGCATATTTTTGTCAGACTTAGAAATGCCACCATGCTGCCATGATTATAAGCTTTGTCCAGTTTGCTGTAAGGGA